GTGTGTGTGTGTGTGTGTGTGTGTGTGTGTGTGTGTGTGTGTGTGTGTTTTCTCTATTGTTTTCTTCCCAAGTTGTTAGAGATTGAACCTACGTAGGCAAGGACTCAGCTGCTGAGATACACTGCCAGCCTATGTAAGTGGCTTACAAAATGCCAACTTCAATACAATTGCTCCCTGCTTATCAGTGCCATGGAGGCCTCCTGCATCTGCACACGGGAGCTGCAGACCATGGCTGATCAGAAAATCCTCTCTGCTGCCTTCAAAAAGACTCTACAGGACAAGGTGAAACTGGACCCCTCTGCTGGGGCCTCTCTGTCTTCTTCTGCCTATGTTAAGGCCTGCAGCCTGGCCTCAGCAAGCAAGAATTTATATATAATGAATACAAACTAGTTTACACCTCAGCAAAGGAGTGGGTGAGAGATGCAAGAACTCCTGGGACCAGGCCACTGAAGCAAGGAAGGGACCAACAGGACACTAGAATTGGAGGAGGCAGCTAATGACAGAGGACACAGCTGCCCAGACAGAAAGGGACTACCTGAACCAGTGTTAACCAGGGAAGGTTATGGTTTGGTAAAGGAACAACATGGAGTATCTGAGCCCCAGTTTCCAGGATTGGAGAATCTTCAGGGATTGTGTAAAGGGAGCAGCCCCAGGCTATAGCTGGGGCCTGGAGCTGGTCACTGCTGGAGTCAGTCCATCATAGGTCAGCATACTTTTGCTTTTTGATAATTTCTTATAGGTTGTGGGGAGGGAGGTGCCAAAGCTTTTCTATTCCAGAGACATATTGCAGAATGTGTCTTCTTCTCTCCAGAATTAATTTTACAAAATGGGAGTGATTCGCCTTTTTAAAGGGTGAACCTTATCTATAGAAACATCTAGATCTGAGGCTTTCTTTGTGGGAAGCATCAATCTCTTAAAACAATTACAGGATGGCTTTGATTTCATCTTCAGTCTTTGTAAGTTATATTTTGCTAAGTAAGAATGTCATGGGGAACACATGGGGTTGGAAGGAAGGGCCTCACGCATGCTAGGCTTCATCCTCAGCCCAGAATGTGTTGGTTTTTTATCTAGTTTTTAACTTCATAACCGAAATCATACACAATGCTTTCTTGCTATCTGCCTGTGTTTGAGGGGATACATAATACATGTTTTGGTCCATGTATAGACATATAGAGTTATACTCTAACTCCTATCTTTTCATATCTTTCTTTAAAAAAACAAAACAGTGGTGTTTCTTGGTCATTCCCATGGCCTACAATCCTCAATATGACTGCCCTGTGCTCTTTCAAATGACGGTGACAAGTTATATTTCACAAGTATTTATTCAACATTTTGAGGTACTTAGGGATCCAGAGTTTAGGAACTAATTAAATTCAGTAGTTGCATCTTCCTTGGGGTCTACATGGCTGGGAAAAAACATGAAGAGAAAACTCAGTATTTACTAGGCAGGCCAAGAGGTCGGAAGTAGTTGGGGTTTAAACCACTCCGACCCCATTCGTTGGCAAACTGGTTAGCTCTTGATTGCTCTGTTCCACGTCCTATGAACCTCCGAATATCCTCTCTGGCATCACTGTAATCAAGACAGACAAGAAGACCCATAACCAAGCTGATGGCAATGGCCCCACCCTCTGGACTCCCTTCTTCAAGAGATGGCCCTAAGAGGAGCCCAGGAACACCAGGGAAGGAGAGGATGGTACTCATCCTGCCTGAATAAACATCTGCTCGACCCAGGAAGTCACCCTCATGATGGATGAGCAGCACCAGGGGAGAGAGGGTGGGTATCATGCATCATTGCCAACCACTCCCAGTACTATGCACAGAAAGGATGGTTAATGGGCAGTGTGCACAGGATGCAGAGGAGAGCCCCTCCTGACTGTCCAGAGCAGTCAAGCTCTGCTCACCGAGACCTCTGTTACCTGATCACTTTAGCAGCCCAGGCTCCTCCTGGTCCCCTTTGGGCAGCATCATAGTTCCCTCTAGCATGGAAGTATTTGTCTGAGTTTTTCCAGTTGGCCTCTTTCATGTCAGAGTAAGCCCGCCACATGTCTCTAGTCCCTGGAGAGTTAGGAGAATGATGAAGAAGATTGCATTTAGGCAAAAGAGTGGGTTAAAACTTCCGTCCAACTCATCCCAATGACTTCGGCC